CCGTCCACTTATGGAAGAGGCGTGAAATTTAATCGGGTTTCGGTTACCGTCTGTGGATTTCCGATTATCCAAAGCAAAAATAGTTTGACAGCGTATATTGTTGCGGTATTTCATCTGCCATCAAGTAAATTTACATGCCATCAAGTTTGTGGGGACGCTTGTCTGTTCTCCTCTATCAATAAAAAAAATCCACCTCCATTAACGCAGAGATGAAAATTGCATTCATTTCCTAGTATTAACATAATGCATATTTTCTGATTATCAATGTTTGAAAATAAAATTATGGTTTCTATAAAGAAATATTCAATTAATTAAACGAAGTCGTACTTATTGGTGGCTCCGAAGGCACTCTCTCGTTGCAGGAATGCTATTTGTTTGATAAATGAATAATGAGGAATTAAAATAAAACCCGCGAGGTTTATCTCGCAAGTTCGTACGGACGATAAATAAAATTGCCACAGTGTTCACTACCCAACTATTTGAAGTACAGTCCTATTGAAATTTATTGCCTTAATTAACATAAAAAATAGTACTTAACTAGAGAAAGTTTTACGAACCTTTGTACAAATACTATGGTAATTAGTTGGTACTCTGTTATTTATTAAGGAAGGGGTATAGCAAAGAATGTTACTTGTTATCTCTATTTTAAAGCGTAAAATTCTTTACACGGTAAGTTTGTAACGATTAAGGTATGTATCACATGTATATAGTTATATACTGATTTTTAGTCAGATTATGTATCTATGTATGTTCAACTTTAGCATAGGGTTACGTCAATATGACCGATTTCAATCGTTAAACAGTAATTTTTATAAGAAGATAAGCATATCACAAAATGTTAATAATCATAATGTCATTTTGGTCTAAAAATAAATGATAGTACGTTGCGCTGGCGCTTACCAGTTTATGATGTAGTTCCATAAAACGCAAGTTTTGTTATATCACAGGTCATTCAAAGATAATCTTATGGAAATGCATTATAATACCCCCCCATTTGTCTCTGATTTGACTGCAGTAGAAATACGCTCAAGAATCGCCTCGGGGCTTGTGCTCCCGACTGTCCATCGACGCACTGCACGTCTACAAAGACGTTGAGTCGCGTGGTCCATAGCTATTAGCCGTCCACCATCGCTACTCCCTGCGCATCCTATAAATTACTCGAATTATACTCTTTAACTACGATTGCGGGTGATATATTGTAGTATTGCAATTATGTAGTTTGCGTCAGCGTACTAGAATTACGCATCTTAAAGTTTACGCCAATCCCTAACACCCGTATAGATAGAGACACCTTTATTTTTCTCGCGTAAATGATAGCTTACGAGACGCTAGAGAAGTAAGGCTTTTGTCCCCTATGTACACGGAATGTCGCGTAAAACGTGACGCGTTGCATTGCGTTAACAGCCTAACTACGTGATCCTATTGGTCACTACTCGGTAAGCTGTGATTGCTTCCAATTAAATAAATGTCAGCATGTGTAGGAGAGAAGTACAGTATTTTTTTGTAAGCTAAAGACAAGCATGGCGTTACATTAAATATTCGGAAACCCACAGACCAAAACGCGATTAAACTTCACGGCTTTTTTATCTGTGTACGGTGGTTCGTGACCGGCCGGAATGTCTATATTTCTATCACCTATTTATTATCCAGATTTCCAGACGAAGTCCAACATTTTTCAGATAAATTATAAATTGAAAATTAGAAACATGTCAGACCCGTTGGTGATCGAACCCACGTCCCTTAATTATTAGCCATACATTGCTACCAACGAGCCTATCTTAAATATCACATATAAATAAAAGTATTATATTGTGTTCTATAATAGACAGCGGCATAACGCGTGATGATAATGCCACAGCCTTACTGCTGCATCCGAGCGTTATTTAGAGGACAAAACTACGTACCACGTTTGTTTCCATGACAATCAGAATCTGTCTGTGTCGGTCGACGCACTTGTGTCATTTGTATCGCCCGTATCTTGTGACTTTAACAAAATATTTTTGATATCACCGCGCGAAGAACATAAGCTTTAAAGTTATTTTTATTAACTCGCCTGACGTTGATAAAATTTTAACAGGCTTCAGGGCCCGTGACGAATAACAAAGCTGTGTTATTAAGGATATCAATAAATATAATGAACGACAATGTAATTGCATTGAAGCGCGGTTTAATGAAGAGTTTCGATAACAGTGCACTTACTGGCCGTTCGTCTTACATGTATCATTTGAATGTCATATCATTCAAATATTGTGTCAAGCAAGCAATCATTATTTGCAACTTAGTAAGCATTCTATACGTTACAACTTTAACACATTTATAAACTAATACGTCGCCATCTGGTAAAATTTAAGGGAAACAAAACATGGGGTTGAAACATTTTATCGATTTTAGTTCCACTTACTTAGGGGTGGTTTGTAGATGGCGTTAGGGTATGCGTTAGATGTATGCGAGTATATTCATCGTTTAATATTTTTTCCCGCCTTTTTTACTACTTTCGTGTTTCATTCTTTTTGGATATCTTGTCTTTGTTTGTATTTAATATGGAACATATTAAGAACCTGTGTATATGGGACATGCACAAAATATAGATTTTACGATTTTGACGGGATTTGAACCGGCATCTACATTCTGCTGCTCTAACCACGGACACGGTAATAGGTTAGAGTAGCAGCACGGAACGCTGTGGATGCCGGTTCACATCCCGTCAGAGTCATTTTTATTTACAATCTAAACAGATTTTTAATTTATATAATGCTATGAAAATATTAAAGTTAAAAAATGTTTAAATATAATAGGAATCTTACTACATCTATATAATATCTACAAAGGATTTACAAGTCCGAAACGTTTTTTGTATACTCTTGAATTAAGGCAAATTCCTTCAACCAAAAATCTATTTCTAACACAACATCGACTCAGTGCATAAATTAAGGCCTATTTCGGTCCAGCGGCCAGCGATTAATTGCAGGGCTGTGACGTCACGCGGTGGCACATTCTACGTCGCATGCCACTACACCTGCCGATAGCCTGACGCCAGGGATTCCAGTTCTGAAGCGTATTAAGCCGTCGGTTCTTTATATGTTATGAAAAATAACGATTTGATATGAATAAAATATCTAAGTGCGTGTATATCCTGAGGAGTGTAGATAATATATAGATATATGTGTTTGTGTTTGACTCGCATGCCATGCCACCTGTGCATATTTTGTCGTGCAAACCATATTCAGGTCAGTAGGGCAAAATAAAGAGTGTTAGGTTACACTTGTTTATTTTTGTGCGAACTTCATTCTTTGTTTAGATAGAACATATACATACTTTGTAACTTGTACTATAAGTTTTTGATTTTAACGATAGTATGACCTTCCTGAGTCCTAATTTAAATTGTTAATATTGTCATGACTTAAATTTAATACAACTGAATGTTTAAAAAAAGTAGATGTGATTTAATGTTCTTTTAAATCAAATAAAATCAAAAATCATTTATTCACGTAGGTAGCTTAGTACACTTATGAACGTCAAAACAGTTACAAATTTAAAACTCAAAATTTACAGTTACTACCAGTTCAAAAGTTAAGGGCGTAGCGCCGCTACTCCTTTGTGTGTACATTATACTTCTTCTTATGGCCTTGAAGTATTAAGATACATCTTATAAGTAGTAACATGTAAGTTATAATGTTTAACTATTATTTACATTCAGGTATATATGATTTGGCTATACTGCAGAAATTTAACTCGCGGCAACATAAAAGACATCTATACACCTGTACATGCGTAGGCGCATCCCTTATAATTAACCCCTGCTATGGAAATAAATGTATTACGATATACGAAGTAGCGATTAAAGTTTTCTTGTGCCTACTAGAAAGCATAAAAGTTTATATTACTCATTGATGAAATAAAAGCTCCAAAAGTATAATAACGCTTTATCGCGCCAATCCGTTTACAGCGTCTATTCTGCCTAACGACTTCTAAATAGACGATGCGAGAAGATCTCGTCTTCCGAACAAGGCAATGGACAGGATAATTATGCGTAACAACGTGCAACAATAGCGGCGCGCGCGCACTGCCTCTATGGCATAATAAGTGCCGGCGTATTTTGACCGGAGTGAAACAAGTAGCTGATCGGGCTCAATAGCATTTTATAAAACAGCGAGGGCAGAGATAAATCATCACCATCATAGATTAATACGGATAACTTAACTTGTATCTTCATGAAAATATTTGTAATCTATGCTAATATTATAAAGTACAACGTAATAGTATAATACAATTTGTTTGTTTGTTTGAACACGCTAATCTCGGGAACTACAGATTTTTTTTTCGGGAAGTACAGATTGGAATTGTGTTGGTACAGCATTTATCAAAAAAGGCTATAAAACACCACCCTGCGACAAGTAAAAGCGAATAAACAGTGGGAAATTTGGATAAACGGGGAAAATTAATTATACGTGCGCTGCGAAAACGATTAAAAATACGTATAGAAAAATTATTCCTCTTAACATGATCTAAAAAATGTCAGCAACCTTATATGTTTTATCTATTAAGATTAACTTGCAAAAACAACGGTATGCGAGCGCCATCGTGGTTAACAGATATAATTTAACTACTGGTTTAATTTTTGCCCAAAACAACTACTCTACACTGGCACATCTAATGTATATTTAATATGTAGGAAATAAAAAATATATAGGTTAATTACATTATAGAGAACTTACTTTTTAAAACATTTAATAGGGATTATACGTAATTCCATTAAATCATAGTCAGAAGTCATAAATAAGCACTTCTATTTTTTACAGAGTCCGTACTGCAGGCCGCAGCACGCGGGGAGGGACGGCCCGTGCGGTGCGTGGCGCGTGTTAGGCGCGCGCCCCACCGCCGCTGTCTGCGCGCGCGCTACTTAGAGTCGGGGGTGCGCGCCACCTCCGCCAATCCACCGACGACCTCCGCGGCACGCACACGTGCGCTCGATCTACTTCCCCGACTTCGATATTTACGCGATGCCCATGGCGACGATACATCCATACCAAAACCTTGGTGTGAATCAAAAACTTGCGCAACTACAGAACACGGCGCAAAGACGACTCGCGCCCGCACCTGATGCTGGAAGATGCAAGAAGAAAACATATCTTCAACAGACGTATCCAGCGCAACCTGCCTCAGTAGCGAGGAGAAATGCAAGGGAGAGAAATAGAGTGAAGCAAGTAAACAATGGATTTGCTGCACTTCGTCAACACATTCCGTCAGCTGTTACAGCAGCACTCGCTGGTGGTAGGGGATCGTCGAGAAAACTCAGCAAAGTGGACACTCTTCGATTAGCCGTTGAATACATAAGGAGTTTAAAAAAGTTACTAGATGACAGCGACGAAGGATGCTCGGAAACACAAATGAGTTTAGGATTAAATACGAGTGACCCACAAACGCCGCCATTATCAGAAGAATCTCATTCGCCAGCCCCATCTCTATTATCCGAAAGTTCAGCGAGTGCCAATTGTCACGAACCCTATGATTCATATGAACCCATGAGCCCCGAAGATGAAGAGCTTCTTGACGTCATATCTTGGTGGCAACAACAGTGAACTAAGGTGAGCTTTTACTAAACTATATTTTTTGTTTTAATCTGAATTAAAATCAATTTACATTTTAACTTTACGATCTTAGTACTCATCTCCGTTTAGTATTTGCCTAGTATTTTTTTTATAGGAGCATTCTTAAGTCATGTCGTAAAATATTTCAATAAATCGCGCAGGTATAGGATTTTTTACCTTTCAATAAAGTTGCCGACTAAGCTTTTTGCTCTATTCGTTAGTCACGGTTGCCTACCGGGTCAGGTCTATTCTTTTATATTGCACAAATTCAAAAGATTTTCGGTCTTACAAGCCAAAAAGTAAACATGTATGCGTAGCCATTCTGTTTGCGCACTGAACCATCGTCGTGGACTTTTATCTATTCACTATCCAGTCACATGTACACAATAGGGTATTCAGCGTAGAATTAAAAAATGTCACTTTGGAATCTTCTGCCGTCTTAGTGACGTTCTTTAAATTATATCTATTAAATTTTTAATAGGCTAGACAATACCCGCATGTCCTTATAATTTCAATGGTCGAATAGCAATTACTTCTAACAACCTTGTGGTTCGCCCCGCATGTAGTGGGAAAATTGCACATAAAAAGTGGTGTATTCTAATAACAAGTGTTCGCATGAGATTGCTCTGATTTGTTACAAGTGGAAACAGGTTCTGTTGCACCTCGTCTTTATTTATCTTAAATCAATAAGCCGCATCCGGCCAGCGGCCACTAAGCTACTTGACCCGCTACTAAAAATCGATCTTTGCAAAAAATCGCATCACTCTGGTGCCCATTAATTTCTTGTACCGGAAGACGGAATCTCAAGAGGAAATGTAGGTACGGTGGGGAAGCACACGTGTAACAATATTTGCCGAGCCCTGATCAAACATCTGGTGATAAACCAGTTTATAATCCCTAGAAGTTAACAGTGGTTTTTTATAACTATTTTAGTAACGTTATGTCTCTATTTTCAGGTACTAGTTTTGTCGGTGATCAAAGTTGAGTGAGCCGTGGTTGTGAAAAAATGGTTTCAAGAAGCCGAGCGTTGGCGCGCAAGGGACTGCGTGAACCTCTAATTAAGCGCAATCAGTGTATACCTAATGAGAGAGGATAATGGTAGACTATAACGATCCCATCGATGCATTCCGCCGAACGAACGACTGAAGACTCCGCTCACATTTCATACATGTATGGAATAGCAGCACCAAGACTGAATTATTCTTTGTATAGACGCATTTAGTTTTATTGTAAAAGACTTACACGCTGTGCCTTTAGCTATCCTTAGATTTACTTCCATTATAGTTAAGTTTACATATGTTTCTAGTCACTAGTATTAAGTATATTGTAAATATGTGAAACAAAAGTTATTCGTTTAAATAAAATGAACTGCGCCTTTTGGCTGAAGTAAGTTTCTGTTTCAACTTCCAATAATGTTTCAAATACATTTCGCCATTATGTAAATAGTAAAGAAATAATTAGAACGTAGTTATTTAATCGTACCTAAAAAGATTCCTAATAATATAAGATTGTAGGTTATGGAGAAATAAAGTTATTTAAAATAAAATTATTCCGTTGTTTTACTTACATTATACTAATAGGGATATCAAGCACTATAACCGGACAAATATTGAATCCTTGATTGGATTTACAACTTCAGTTATAATTTTAAATAATTATTTTAAAAGGAGCTAAGTATCGGAGCTTCTATTGGAAAATTTACAAGTTACCTACATATACATGTTGATATATCAATTGGTACTATGTACCTACTTATATTTTTAATCAGATTCTCTAACTAGCTAGTCAAATAACATAATACCTAGAATCTAGATGTAGGTACTTTACATACGCACATACTTAGATTTTGTTAACATTTAGATTTCATCAACTCTACGCAGAATAAACGTGGTTTTAGCGAGTTATTTATAGGAAAGAGTGGTAATGTTATGCTCATACTCTTTATATTAATTTTTAATAATTAATGATAGTCAACGTATATTAAAATTTATAGTAGGTATCTATCAGTCACCTTTGTCGCTAAATGCCTAAACATGTTGCTAGGCAACATGTTTAGGCATTGCGTTAAATGATCCTCACATTTAACGCAATGCTAGCCCTGGGTTCGAATCCTGGGGAAACAATAGATAATTCGGCTGGAATAAAACCGATCACTGAAACGGACACAAAAATCGGTTCGTCCCATGTCCCACAGGGGGAAACAGAATTTAACTTTAGAGCAAATCATAAAATAAGCTTAGGTTTTTCTTTACGTCGCAGAAAAGACATTTTGACGTATTCTAAAAATAATTGAACTAACAAAAGCTTACCTACACGTGCTCCCGCTCGAATTACACTCCTGCGCAAAATAATACGCGAAATCCTAAACATTTGCTTATAACATTTAATTTGCAGAAGACAATCTCCCTGAATGCCAGTATGCCCGCCCATCCACATCAAATTGCAATAGTAATTTTTGATAATGGAAGGGAAGAACGCGATTATGGCTTGATATTTCCGTCGGTACTAATTGTTCGAGCGCGCTGCCCAAACGGGAATGTCTAGATGCGACGGAAGCACGCCGAACACCTGTGGAACCAGCCTATTCGTGAATAGTCAGTACATGCCCTTCATTAATTCTTCGTATTAATTGTTGATCACTATGCGATGATGCGTCCGTCCGCAATGGATCAACTTTTTACGATGAAATATGCAGTCAATTGTTTGTAGTGCAGTGCTATTTATAATTGACGAGTTTTGACGAGACCTTTTGTGCATGCCTACATAATATGTTACTTTTTATGTGGTATACATAGTACCGTAAGGTTTTATTTTTATCGTCAAGAATATTGTGGCATTTGATTCACTGCTTCATATTTTTCTACGCTTTTCTAGGTATCTGGTATTTTAGTGAATGCTAAAAGGAGGAATGTTTGAGGTATTGTTTTCTTCAGTGCTTCAAGTATAACTTTAAACAACGATACGACACTCATGTCTTCAATGGCAATAATACCAGTATTTTAAAAGGTAGAATTGATAAGGATTATGGTATTTTAATGATAATGTATGCATTGATCAATCACGACCACATCCTTGGCTCAAGGGTAAAGTTGTTTTAAGGTCGATAAGTCCTGGTTCGAATTCTGAACCGACACGATGAATAGTTCCGGTCAGGTTTGAAACTAAAAACTTACCTGCTTGTCTATAAATAAAAGTGAAACAGGCATAAAATTAAGTCTCCCACATGTTCTGCTTAGGGAAACATATATTTTATTTAAAGTTTTAGTAAATTTTGGCATACAAAAAATTTTGCCCTCCCTATACAATGGTCTGCGCTAGAGTAGCGTTTGTGTCGGCAAAGCCCGCCGCCACTCGGCTCCGCTCGTGCGTCGCTGGCACGCGACTGTCGCACGTACGCGCACGGCCGTCCGTCGAGTTGCGCCCGCGCAGCTGCGCGCTGGCCGCTTGCGCAGAACCGATTGCTTTTCGAGAACAAAATGCGCATGTAATTAACTTGGGCTGCGGCTGTAATTTTAGAACTGGTGTCATTTTTTTTCCCAGTTGACGAAATTGTTGTTGCTGTGTTTGATTACTTTGAACTGCTTTATATTATGTTGTACTATAAAAAATATACTCCTACTACGAATAATAAAAATGTAGCTTCATAATTCACATTAAGTCTCTAATAAGTGCTTAAGAGCTTTCAAGGCTTACACAGCACGAGTTTTGGAAAATGCAAAATATCTTAAGGATATATGCAAATCATTCGAAACATCGCATCGTATGTAGGATTAAAAAGTTATAATAATTTAAGGTTTTAAACAGTCAAAAATTGTTTTATTTATTATTTTTATAGCATATAACTTCTCGTACCGTTCAGGTACGGTTTAAGCTTTATCAAAAACAAACAAACCAATTAGGTTATTCCTGTAGTACGACGACCTTGACTTAAAGTGTACAGTCGTAGCAATAAAGCGTCTGACCCAAATATACAGTCGCGCGACGCAGTTATTTTTGAATCTTGAACAAGTTCAAGTGGCGTACTATAACTGGCTGGAAAGAACTCGATTCTCAGCTTCGTAGATCTTCATGAATAATGCAATTACTTAGACGATCGGATAAAATGCGGATTAAATTGTAGACATCAGCTGACTACTTAAAATTAGTATTGAGACAAAGGATGCCAAAACATAAGACATTTTGTATCTTTTGTGAACAAAGAATAACCTTCAAACATCGGATAATATATTATATATAACTTGAAGTATGCTTAATAAGGTTTAGAATTTAGTCCATATATACTAAATTGTGTTTTAATTAAAAAAAACTTAGAAAATATATTTAGATATACATATGTTTATGAAAAGATAGTATTTTTGAAAATGTTAATAATTGATTGCAAATGATGGCATTTTATAGTTAAAATACTATTTAAAACGGAAAATCTTACCACAATGGCGCCTGTGTCGTAATTTTGTTTTTTGTTGGTTTGTTAACTTGAAACCGTACGAGAAATTCTATGTCTCTTAAAAATATTTAATAAAACATTTTTAACTTTTAAAACGCAAACGTATTGGTAATTACTTTTTAGACGACCCGATATTTCGGATGTTTTGCATATAGTTATAAATACTATAAGTTTTCCTACATTCACACTTCTTTGGCCTTAAAAAACGTAAGTATAGTTTGCAAAGAATCACGAAAAATCACGCACACCTATTTTAGGAATAAAGTTTCATACAAAATGTGAATTCTCCTTTCAACTTGAACATTGACTACGCCTCGTTATTGACTATTTAATTAATCCAAATCAGTCTCCGCATTAAATTACCGAGCCGTAATAAACGTCATTAATGACCGTTAATGAATTGGGTTGGTGAGCAGGTAGCGGTCTAAAATGCTTCGTATAACTCTCAAAAAATTCTCACATATTTGTACCGAAATGGGATGTCCAATGTCAAAGTTTCGTTATCCCTTAAATCTTTGATCCCTATATTTGCTGACTGAGAACTTATATTTTGAAAATCGAAGACATATTTATTCGATGGGTTTGTTGGTCCAAACGGGTCATGAGTTCCTGATCCCTACCAGGACCACGATTCTAATTTTTCAGTAACTTGCTGCACTTCGTCTGAAAATCTGGATATGGACGGTAGGAATATAGAAATTCTATCCGGGTCACGAACCACCGGCCACAGATGAAAGAACCGTGAAGCTTAATAGCGTTTCGGTTTCAGTCAGTCAAAAAGTGAGTTTAGCTTATCAGCCGTAGCGGGACGTTGCTGGTAAAGCATCCGAAACGTCAGCCCGTAGTTAAAATAATTTTCAAATAAGTTTAACTAATAAATATTGCATTCTAAATCGTTCAAGTGTTTTTTTTTTAATGTGTACTATTCGCGTAATCTACAGACAGTACAACATATATTTTTAAAGTCATATGTGTATGTACATACCTTTATCTATTCTATAAAATAGACCCAATAAAACCCGATCAACTAAATCCCTTATCAACAGAAATCTTCGATACCTCCGCACGCAAGTTATCGGCTTTACTCAAAGGGGCTTCGTGTCGCGTTATTCAAATAATTAGGGCCGATCAGACCGCTACGGATCGAATAAAAACCACACAAAGTCGTGCGGATAGCCTCAAACAGATAATGCAAAGATGAGTGGAATCATACCTGAATTATTTTATTAAAACATTAATACAATATTAAAAGTTAATAAGTCATTATTAAATTGCATTATCTATGTATAAATAAAAAAAAAAATTTGTTTTGACGTACTAATCTCATGAACTGCTGCTTTGTTTGAATCCAGGAAGGTTTATTTATATTCGGTAGATAAAACAATCGATACCAAGGTTTTTGGTTTTAGGACAAATTAGGTTTATAAACAAATATCTATTAAATTTCTTCTCATTATTTTATTAGAAATTGCAAACTTTGTTGTTAAAGCAATTTTTGTAAAGTTTTTTAAAAACTTTGTGTAAAGCTATTTTTTATAAAAATATTGTTGGTTTTTATTTCCGCCTAATTAGAATGTTTACCATAATAACACCCATCTTATTCTTATTCTTACCTGTTTTCTTACAGATAAATTATTGGAAATAAAAAATCTATTTAGAATACATTTAATGGCACGGGCGGGACTTGAACCAGCATTCACAGAGATCCGTGTTGATTTGTAACCAATTAAGTTACTGTGTCTAATTTCATCGAAGTTCTTCTACCCATTAGTAACGTGCACCTCTCGCGCAATATGACTATTTTCTAATGAATTTAAGAACAATACACTTATAATTATCATTATTTTTTATGATAGAAGAAGCAGACAAGCCTGTGGTTCGCTTGATGGTACGTAAAATAGCAATATAACATCTAAACATGATGCCCTGTTGACCTATTTTGAATTTGGATGTCCGGAAAAATTACATAAAGCCCAAACAAACTAAATAAGACATCGATAAGGTCAACGACCGTCATACCAGGTGGTATGACGGGTGACAGTAAATATTATAGAATTATCGATAAACGGAAGAAATTACGTTCCATTGGTGATAGCGATAATAGAGTCAGCATGGAACTAACCTAACATAATACGCTCTAGATTAAAGTACGCCGGCGACAATAACTCTAATTCCGTATTGCTTTTCAAACAGCTGTCAAAATGATAGACAGATATAACAAGTCCTGTTTCGTTTGAATTACTCACCAGTATTGCAGGATCTTCTTAATCAGACAGCTTATGTTACACTAATTCAAAATAAAACATTAAGTATTCATACGTATACTAGCTGTGTCAGCGACTTCGTTCGCGCAGTCATTTTGGGCATCAAAATTTGTTTTTGCAAATCTCCTCTCCATCTTTATAAATTTTTGCTGTTACCTCCTGACGTCGGTTGCGTCCCGTCGTTTTTGCAAGTTAATCTTAAATGAAAGATATATAGTTTTGTGCATTTTTTTAGATCGTTTAAAGAGAAACCACTCTTTCATACATATTTTTTGGGTATCTCGAATCGTTTTCGCAGTGTAGTTACGCGTCGAAAACCCACAGCGGTGAATAATTTTCCCGTTTTTTCACATTTCCCACTGTTTCTTCGCCCATTTTAGTCACAGTGCGGTGTTTTATAAACTATAGCCATCCTCGTTAAATACTCTAACCGCAAAAAAATAATTTTCATTTCAATTCGATAGTTCCTGAGATTGGAGCGTTAAACAAACAAACTCTTCAGCTTTATATATTTGTATAGATCATAGTTAGTAGTGAAAGTATTAGTAGTTTAAGCGTTACATTAATTTTTATAAATTATCTATGTTTGATACACAAAAGTACAATCCACGTTTGTTTGCCTCTGTGGTTTAAATATTAAAACAATTGTCTTGAATTGCATTGAGTGCGAGAAGTGGTAGACTCGATTCCTGGCAACATATATATACTATATAGGTAAACAGTGTCAATCAGAAAACCTTTAAATATTAAAGCACATTGGTTAGCTAAACATAATTTAGAATTATAATATAAATATTTACAAGTACCTATTGTCTATAAATCCCAATCCAATTCTACTTTGGGGCACACTATCGTGTATACTTTTCTCTAAAGTAAATTCAAAATACTTGTCCAAAGTCACGTTATATCTTTAGCTCATTAAGCCCATATCTGAAATTAGTCCATTTAATTAGACGAATTTAGAATAATCTGTTTTCTCTAATTTGTTATCTAATTAAAAGATGACTATAAACTAATCTCGGAAGTCTCAATAAAACGCTTGTCCGCTACGTCAGTCAGTTGTTTCGGTCTAATGAAGGCGCGGTCAAAAAACCTCGTCTCCGGTGGTCCGACAGTGTCAACTTGTGTTAGGAAGACCTAAAGACTTAGTTTAACAAGTTTTTGTATTGGAATTTTGCCTTAGAGAAAGATAATGGAAGTATTGATATAAACTGTGCCTATAGTGAACTAATTTTAACGCTAATGTTTCGCATTTTAAACCGTTTAACCAAGTTGAACAAGGTATTTCTCTTTTTAGTGTGACAAATTGACGACCAGATGAGCCAGCCCTTGAACATGCATTTAAGCTCATTTGTGATGGCTTCGGACATTAAGAAATTCATATACATACGAATCGAGAATCAACTAGACGCAACTTTTCCATCTGCAGACCTTGGTTTGAGACCTAACGGAATTTTTCAATTTCTACCAGCAATTTATTATCTAGAATTTCCAGATGCGGGTCAAAGTTAATGTCTGGAAGCAGCAGATACGATTTGCAATCATGCTGGAACAATCAACAGGTCAGTCACAATTCTATCGGATCTTAAATAATGTGACTATTATTTCTCCTTTCTCATGTAAATTGTCAATGTTAGTAGGACTTAATATGTATTTAATACAACGGTCGATGAGCCCATAATTTGACTAACATACGGCCGCATCAGCTGTCCTTTCGTGTTCTCATAAGCACTGAATTGATATGTAAATTCGGTTATAAAATACAAAGTAGCTTTAATTAGACATTGCTTGTGTTACCGTACAAAACTGTACTTTCT